CGATTAAATACTAATATTTTGATAAAACTTGAATAAAAAAGGCATTTCATATATCAGGGCCGCCGGAAGTAAATTTAGATGAGTGAGACAGAAAACCAATAAAATAATAACGTTCCTTGATACCGAAGACAGGGTCAGACCTTTAATTTTTTTTCTTCTAATTTTTGAGAGTAAAATACGTGACTGCCACAAAATAAATTTAGGTAGCTCTACTCCAAAGCTGGTAATCCGCTATTACATTTATAAAATAAATATTTCATTGCGCATGCTTGCTGTTTTCAGACTAAGATATGATAAAAATTACAAGCGTGTAATGGTAGAAATGCATCATGGTAACGAAATGATTTTCGTTATTTACTTATACATGATTGTTATATGTGTGTTTCAGTTTATAAAGCTGGTAGGTCTATAGTCGTGTATGTAATATCTGGCCCACAATGAGCGCGCACAACAGACAAAATGACAAGGACTAGCAGCAGTGCTATCGCTTGGCTTAAATATTATCTGACAATGGTTATACCTGACAGTTAGGTAGTGTTAATGGTTTGCTTGTTTGTAATTAAGCACAAAGCTACACAAATGGCTATCTGTGCTCTGCCCACCACGGGTACCGAAACCCGGATTCTAGTGTTGTAAATCCGCAGACATACCGCTGGGCCACAGGGGGCAATACTAATGGGTATTATATCAGTCAGTAAAGAATAAATAAATATAAAAGAGGCCTTGCCCTTTTATAATATTACATAAAAATCGTAAAATAATTTTGTTTTGTTTTTTCACAGAACTTCATTTGGAATGCGATAACACCCTAGATATTCTCCATGTTTTAATTCAGTGGTAAACAATGAATGAACTGATATTACTTTTAATAAAAAGTAAAAAAAAAAATACATACATCTGTTACGAAGACGATCACTGAATTCCTGTAAAAGCCATATTTTTTCAAACTTGCGACAATTTTTCCAACTGCCTCGTCCAAAGCAGTGACCATCCCTGAAAAACGACATTAAGATATTTTTAGTAATTTAAAACATTTATATAACGATATATAGACCTTTTTTATATTATTATTATTTATTATCATTTTTGTTTTTGTTAGGCTATCTGCTGTTTCCACCAGGGGAACTGAACCCTGGATTTTAATGTAATTCCATAAACTTACCGCTGTCCCACCTGGGAACATTGTGAAATTAAACATTGCCCCTCCTAGTGGCTCAGTAATAAGTTAGAAGGCTTACAACGCTAAACAAAATCGGATTTCGATATACAAGATGAGCACGCCACAGACAGCCCATTGTGTTGCTTTGTAGTTAACAAACAGTTATTAACTATTACTTGAAATGACGGTATAGCAAAATATTGAATACAAACGTAATTGAGAATGTTAGTAAACATATAAGGTCACATAATTATATCACCCATTCTTGAAAATAGCAACAAAAACGAAAATAAAGAAAATTATATTGAAATAAACATTTGGTTTTATTTCAGAATCACGGAACTTGATTCTGTGAATGAATAAGTGCTGCCAGACAAGTAGCGTAGCCTAGAGTTAAATGGAGACAAGTTAGGGGGAGCTAAACGGAAGGACTACATGTGACATAATCGGACGTAGAAACTATCCAGCAGACTCTGATTGGGTGGCCTGAATGCTGAGTACAGGCTGCGGCTACTCCACTGCTACTAGAAGCAATAACTGTGTCTCTACCTTCTACCTATGAATTATAGATTAGAGGGAAGACAGATAATCAACACCACCCACCGCCAACTCTTGAGTTAATCTTAACCAACGAATAGTTGGGTTGAGCATGTTCGGGGATGGGATTCGAACTCGCGACCCTAAGATTGCAAGTCGAGTACCCTAACCACCAGGCATAGTAACTGTGTCGCTGTTAAATAATAAAAATGATTGTTTGAAAATTTAGCGGTGATAATAACTAATATATATATATTTTACAGACCTAAGAACGAGTTTAATAATTCTCACACAGCTCCTTTTTAGAAAAGCAAATAAAATATTCATATTGCCACCTGGTGGTAAAAATATTAACTTTGTTTACAAATTTGAACCCAAAAGCTCTAATACTTTCAAAAAGTAATCACTTCTTTATCACAAACTTCTGATGAATAAGAGAACACTCTTTGAAAGTCTTTGGCTTTTGTATCGTTTTGGTCGTTGTTTTGTTCTATCTTATTGCACTATGAAGATATTAAAGTTGATAGTTACTTACCAGAAAATATTTTTCTAGATTTGTCCTTAATGTTTTCATAAAATCGCATATACTTTTTAGGAACCTAAGAAAATAAAAATTATGCCTATACTTCCATACGATAGAAAATATATATAAATACAGTAGCAAAAAAAATCATCAGTCACCGTTCAACTACAGTATTTTTGTTTGTTTGTTTGTTAGATACAATTTCATGATACAAACGAAAACAGTAATTCAGTCTTCAAGCTATAGAATTCTTTAGAGGATGATGCCGTCCTGTGAAGTTAGAAAATGTTCTGATGAAATGGAAACTGAGATCAGCCGAGATTGGAATCCATAACTCAGTTGATTGGACATATACCTTAGCAACATGGCATAGCTCAAAAATCCTCCCAAAATTCCATCATTAATATCCAATGAAGTGAAAACTGAAACCACTGAGTTCGAAACGAGATAACAGGCCCAGGGATAGTGAACTGGCGCTTCTAATCACACTTGAGCCCACGAGAATCCTATGTTGCTTATCCTCAACGCCGTTAAAACATTAAACTGACAAGCACAGTGACGGGTTTTAACACACCCGTACCCATTCTTGTCTGTCAAGGATAACATGTGCATCAGTAAAAAACAATAACTAAACCTAAATTCTTTGTAAAGCTTTGACAAGATAATCGCCATCCTAAAATTCATTTCGATGTTTGTTTAGTTTGGTTTGAATTTCGCCCAAACCTACTCGAGGGCTGTCTGTGATAACTGTCCCTAATTTAGCAGCTATAGACTAGAGGGAACGCAACTAATCAACACTATCCACCGCCAACTCTTGGGCTACTATTTTACCAAACAATAGTGGAATTGACCGTGACATTAAAATGCCCCCAATGGCTGAAAGGGCGAGCATGTTCGATGACAGGGATTCGAACTCGTAGTGTGCGAGTCGAGCGCTCTCCTTCAATGACCAGTGTACTCACTCAGCAACCAGTGTTTATTTAGAAGTAAAAGCCTCCTGACCTAAACCGTAATGTGCATGGCCTCATGTTTACATTATTTTTCCCTGTTGTTTTTTTTCTTTTTTCAGCACAATTGTGAGAAACAAATTATAGTTTAGATTAGTCAAAAGTGGATTATGTCTGCAATTATAAAAGAGCGCATGCTTCAGCATTGTGAAAAATAAGCCCTTGTTCTGAGAATCGCTATAAACAGGAAATATCATTAGAAAGTAAAGTAAATTCTCCATTTTTTTTATTGTCACAATCTGTACACCTCTTTTAATTTCTATCCACCTTCTTTAATGTTTTCTTCTTTCTTATTTGGTTTCTGAATACATTCCACTTTTTTATGAATTTTTCAAGAAATAAAAATACAGCCCTCTATCTGTCTAAACTAAAAATTTCAATGCAAATCATCATGTTCTCACTCTATGCCCTTCCCACGCACTTTATTTCTGACGTCATCATCGTCTCCAGCTTACCTGTAATGGACCATGAACCGCTTGGAATGGCAAATAGAAGAAGTGTGGGACACTTGGATCCAGAGTAGAGAGTAAGTTAGTCATAATACGAGCAAACACGTGCTGCAATAGGAAACAATCCTTTAAACTACTGATGCAAAAAAAAAAAAATTAAATTCTTAAAAATTGTCAAGATCATTAGACGTTGTTCGTTATAGAGATTTATGTAATGTTTCATTTCCTCTTTACGTACTTTACTAATTTTTTTTTAATCATTCTATATTTTATAGATTTTTAACTTAACATATTGATTTAGGACTAAACTAAATTGACTAAACCTCACGAGATATTATGAGGATTATGACCGAAAATAACGATAACATCGAGAGTGTCATTTAATGAATCAATGCATTCTCAGTAATTTTAAGTTTTTATTTTATGATATTGGCTTATACCGGTATATTAAATTTACTACGTTATTTACTGAATTAATATTTAATTCTGCTCTACGTAGATAACTTGCTTTGATCAGAAGTTATTGATAATTTCATACGTGTGTGAAAAAAATTGTCGTCGTTAAAATGCTTTCGTCACTTTTGTACTAATCCACTGGAAGAAAACAAAAATGAAAGAGATAAAAGTAATTATAACGTTTCTACATACGGTGGAGTACTTCCCAGAGTAATTGGTGGCGGGACTAGTGCCTTGTCGGAAGTCTAAGCCAGTGTTGGAATTCAACCACTGCCCTGTTTAAAAATATACAAGTAGCTCGTTATAACAAAATAATTCGTTCAATTGTTGTAATTTTTACTGTCCATTGATGTTAGTGAATTTCGAAGGCTAGGCATGAATATTTTCCTGAAAGATTATTAATCATCACCTTTTGGTTAAGCTTCCAACCATTGATTTTTTACGAGATAAGCTTACATATTATATAACATGTAATATAACAAGTTAGGCTTAGGACAAATTATTGGCGTATAAGTGGAATGAAGCATTCAACAAGCTTTGAAAATTTATTAATTTGATAAATTTGGTATTGTCAACCTTAATGACACCTTATGCAACATATGGGCTAAATAGCCAGATCTGAAAATCCAAACTTCAGGCACAGCTATTCCTTGTCTGAACTTCTTACCATTCAGCAGTACCATCTACACGCTTATTCTGACAACGGTATTATTCTCACGGTTATACTGTTCTAACAGCAAAACGTGCCATACGTGTTTAGCAGCATATCGCAATTCGAACCTTGAACTTTATGACCGCAGCCCGACATACCAACTGCTTGGCCACACCTGGCCTAGCTTAGAATATAAATGAAATTTTGATCCACGAAAAGTTAGGTCAAAGAAACATATTCACCTTTTAAAGTTGGCAAATTGTAGGAGAGTCCACAAACAGTAAATATATAATAAACAAGTTTGTTTGTTTATTATGGATTTCGCGCAAAGCAACACGAGGGCTATCTGCGCTAGCCATCTCTAATTTAGCATTGTAAGACTAGAGGGAAGGCAGCTAGTCATCACCACCCTCCGCCAACACTTGGGCTACTCTTTTACCAACGAATAGTGGGATTGACCGTCACATTATAACGCCCCCACGGCTGTAAGGGCGAGCATGTTTGGTGGGACGGGGATTCGAACCCGCGACCCGCAGATTCGAGTCGAGCGCCCTACCCACCTGGCTATGCCAGGCCTTAATAAATAACCCATAAACATTATTGACCTCTTGATTTTAAATACGTATATAAGTCATCAAGGTACTCGCGACAAAGATTATTGTTTACACTCTCAAAACAATCTTGTGAAGTTTACTTAACGACCACGTTAGAGGGTATTTCCATCAAAGTAAGTCACTTTACTTAGGAATCAGTTGCTTTGATTTTATAATAAATATTAAAAAACTTAAGCCACTTTAGAGAAAATAGTAGTATAAGAAAACTCACTTGTCAGGTATTACCTCCGCCACTGAAGGTGGACGGAGGTTATGTTTTCACCTCTGTTTGCGTGTTTGCCAGCAAGAGTTCTTGAAAACGGTTGAATGTATTTGGGCGAAAGTTGGTATACATTTGGATTATGATCCAACTTATACGTAATTGATATTTGGAAGGTCAAGGTCATAGCAAGGTCACGAAAACCCAATACAATCTTTATCTGTTAACATGGGGACCGATTTTTCTTACTATTTTTTTTATATCTCAATCAAAAATGATCGCATTTAGTGGACTTCTGTAGAATAGCATTCCTCATTGTCTGTCCAGAAATGGTCCGTGTTCGTTGATAACGACGGACATGACATAAGGACACATTTTCGTATTTGTTGAGAACCAAATATGATCAATGCTGCGTGGCTAGGGTATGCGCTCTAGTGAGTGCCCCTTCAGTTCATACTGTGTTGATTACAATTATAGTTTTCACTTTTGTTGGCCGAGCGAGGCTCAGTGGTTAGCACGATGTCCCATGATTCGTGTCCTGTTACCACCACCCCTCCAAAAAAAATCACGCTCCGCACCTTAAGGTAGGAGGTGTTATAATAAAGTAAATCAAATGGAATACCACTTTTTGATCCGACAAGTACTTCAAAATTATGGACAGCTAGTGCAAACATTTTCCGCGTAGCTGTGCGCGAAAATCAACACAAAATATACCACTTTTTGATCCGACAAGTACTTCAAAATTATGGACAGCTAGTGCAAACATTTTCCGCGTAGCTGTGCGCGAAAAATCAACACAAAATATACCGCTTCAGACTAAAATTCTAAATGAACACTTTGCATGTATTTCTTCTAATTAAAGTTTAACTTCTATTTTAAACAAATAATACATTAAAATATCTAAAGAAAACTAGGTATGTTCAGAATTAATATATACATCAGAAATCCAAACGAATTTGACTAGAAGTAGAAACGACTAGAAATCATACACATAAATGTGTAAAAAAAATTAATATTTTAAAAATTTCCTTGTTTGGTTTTTGTAATTAAATAGATACCACTCACATTCGGTGCCTTCCTTGAAATAGAGAAAGTCCTTCTGTCCCCTAGTATGAGTAAAATAATCCTCCGATCCAGAGTAGAATCCAAAAAAAGCTGTCAAATCCTCGGTACGTAGGGGTATAAGACCAATTGCAGTAGCCCAAGTGCCATCTAGGGCAGAACATTGTAACCATTATATATTTTTATTGTAAAAAGCAATCTAGGAAAATAATTGTCTAAAATATAACTTTACGTGAAATAATGCTTACGTCAGAAGTAAGAATTAAATAAGGTGTAACGGCAATTTTACAATAATTTACACAAAATTACACTCCACTCTTGGTTTATACTGTACTCACGTTTAAGATAATATATATTTCTGTTTAACATTCTATACAGGTTTGGCTTCTAATAGGAATGATGAAATAAAATCAAGATATTTTTACTCCATACAGTTATAAATAACTTACAAATAGATACGACCATTTTGTCTAAAACGTAGATAGATACAGAGATAATCGTACTAAATTATAACTGTTGTGTAAATAAAAGTACATTTCTTTACTGAAGTACAGTAAACAAACACACTTACTTAATAATTAACTACTAAACAATCTCGATGAAATCTCGCCAAAAACGTAATCTGGTGAACTTACTTTCCAATAGCATGAGAAGAATAGCCATAATCTCTCAGCTTCTCAGGAAGCAGTGTAAACTTTAATGGGACTCCTGTTGGCTCTAGAGGATGAAGCACGTGATTCTGGAATAGAAATAAAGCACGTCTAGATATAGCAAATATTATATAAATACATATGTACCCTCAGTATTTAATACAGTGGGAAAACCACGCTTTATATGAACAGTTTCTATGTGTTAATACAATAATATTTTGCTGTGGCTTGAAACCATGACAACACGGGCGACATAATTAGTACCTGTATATTTGGTTAACAGCGACTTCTCAACTATTTGATAGAGTATTACCGTAACAAATCTTTCCGAAGAGATATATTGATACAGCAAGATTGTTAAACACTGTAATTATCAAAGAGCACACTTAAAACGTTATTCACGGAAGCAGAAAAACTCGGAAAGCAGAAGGCTTAGGATAGCAACAGGCGCTAAAATCGCATCTAAACAAATTAAGAGAAAATGTCTTTATCTGGAAAGTGGATGCTATGATTACGAAAGAGAACCCTTCAACTTAATAATCCATTGTAATGAAGCTGTGGATGTTTCCTGGTACCCTTAAAAGATAATAAACAAGGATTTGGTCCTAATATAGGTTCACAAGCCAGGAATGCTCAATTTTTCTAGCTTCACCTTGATACTAATGGTCGTCTTCATGATAAAGATGTGATCAAAGAAAGTAAAATCACAGCAATATGATTCGGCCACACATCTGTGAAGTCTCCAGCGAATTATGCAGTCTTGGAAGTTGTCATCCATATAGAATGGAGGATCTGTAGAAAATCTGTCAGAATCTGTGGTCTAAGGTTGACTTCATTGTCCTTCGTAGAACCTTGTTACAACGTATGTTGGGCAATGGTGCGTAATCATGGTCACGATAAAGGAATTAGTTTTTTAAAGTGTTATTAATCTCAATACAAAGCACATGAGTTGAAATACAATCATCAAAAATATTTGTAAACGTATATATATATATATAAAGTACTCGTAGCAATCCAAACAGAATCTCTCAAAGGGTTTCAAATATAAATAATCCCATATAAACATTATATGGGTTTTCTGTATACAATTATAATCACTCAGTTAATGCATTGTCAGGTTTCATTCAGTTATTTAACCCTAAAACTAGAAGCTTATTTTTATAAAAATATACCCCACTACTGGTTGAGTCCGTATATTGCATTATAATGCATAATTTTGTGTTTTTGCCGGCTAATATTCAATGTAAAGAACCGATCCCCGAGAAAAATGGGATGTGAAATCATCCAGTTTTCTACGTAAAACATATAGGAATCCTCAGATGTAATTAGCGAGATTACTTGTAATCATAATGAGGTGTATCGTTTTTTGTGACTCATAAGTTTTGCTGATTCTTGTAACAAACCTGCTCGTGCACCCACAATAAGTATTGGTGTATGTTTAGAACAATATATTTCAAAAGCCGATGAGCCCATATTCTATTGTTACCTCTACGGTGAGAACAAACTCGAAGAGCTGTAGGAATATATATTTAAATGTCCTCCTGATCTAGATCTAAAATTAACATTGTGTACTTACTTGTCTTCCAACATGAAAGGGAAAGTAACCAGTCATGAACGCTGTTCGAGACCTGCAACAAATCACATGAACAAATCACTTTACGACTTAAAGCAGTTCAAATTAACGAGTCATATTACGAACTACAGCATTTCAAATGAACGAGTCACTTCACGAATTAAATTTCAAATAAACGAGTCGCTTTATGACTTCCAATACTTCAAATAAACGAGTCATATTACGTCTGTCTTTTATGTATAAAAAGTGAATGTGTTTTTTTAAGATTGTCAGATTTGTTTGTAATTAGGCATAAATCTACACAATGGGCTATCTGTGCTCTGTCCACTACGGGTATCGAAACCCGGTTTCTAGCACTGTATTGTTTGTTTGTTTTTGAATTTCGCGCAAAACTACACGAGGGCTATCTGCTCTAGCCGTCCCTAATTTAGCAGTGTAAGACGAGAGGGAAGGCAGCCAGTCATCACCACCACCGCCAACATTTGGGCTTCTCTTTTACCAACGAATAGTGGGATTGACCGTCACATTATATCACCCCTACGGCTGAAAGGGCGAGCATGTTTGGTGGAATGGGGATTCGAACCCGCGAGCCTCAGATTGCGAGTCGAGCGCCCTAATCACCTGGCCAAGCTGATCCCCTAACATTGTAAGTTCACAGACATATCGCTGGGGGGCAAAACTGTCAGAATGGTTCAAAAATCAAACCACCATTTCAAATTACTTGTCTTTTACGGGTAATTTTAACTGAGAATATTTTTGGTTTGGTTTGTCATTAGAATCAATATAAAGTCAAACCCTCTATATCTTATGATCACTAAGATAATTAAGGATGATAAATATAGTGAAAATTAAAACCTTCCTATCTTTAGATCCAACAACAATGAAACGTATAGCAGGTTTGTTAAGCAAAAGTTACATTGTTAGACTGTATACTCTGGTATTCGTGCTCTTAACAGAAAGAATATTATTTCACAATGAAGACAAAATTCTGAAACATTTTCTGTATTTCTTAAATATTTTGTTATTTTTATAAGTTTTCTACTTGTTTCTGGTTTATAGTTGACATAGAAAAACTTTATAACTAAGGTAACTTGCCAAATTCGTTGCTTTAACCTAGAGACCATCCTAAGATTTATGCATAGCAACACTTTATTTAGAACTGTTCTCTTAAAACATAATATATTTTTGCATCACTTTTAATATATGTAGAATTTTTAATATTGTTCTATCTTTCCCAATTTAGACCCTTCATAAATTCACTTAAATCAGTCATTTGTTATTAAACAACAAATTAAGCCTTTACTAACATAAAATACATCAACTAAATATTTAGCAAATTTTGTTGCCACCAAGCTTTTCCTGTTTACGTTTATGCATATAGTAAACCTTTTATTCACAATTAACTAAATGTTAACTTTTGTCTTTCTAAAACTTTTACTTTCTCAACAGTACATGTTTACTTTTTTTGTTGCAGCTTAGTGGCAGCATTGTAGTAAAGGTTTCCTGAATTTTTAGCTGCAGCATAGCGGCTCATAGAATGGCTCTGAATTTTTCAGGTACAAACTTTTAGTTCATAGCTCCGCTCATGACCAATTTGAGACCTAATTACAGCCACAGCTATTGAGGATTCCCTCTTGTTTTACATTAATATTAATTATTCTGTCTTTAACGACCAAACTTGGTTATAATAGAAAGTAGAAAATGCTATAATCTGAGTTTGTCGTACTCACGGTGTACAGACGGGTTGAACGTAAGACTGGTTTAGAATGATTCCATCTCGAGCCAAACGTTCCAAGTTTGGAGTCACAATGTCCGGGTTATGCCAGCTGACATCATTCCAACCTACACAGTAAACATATCATTTGTCCTTCTTAGAATTTATTGATAGCAAATGAAATATCAAAAATAATATTAGATTAAAAAACTACACGGGCACTCACTTTTTATTTCGAGCCAAACGCGATCCATCCTGTCAGACATTTCTAGGTTCGCCTGGAATTTTCTCCATCAATCCGGACACCCAGAAAACGATTTTTGGAACATTTTCAACTCCAGTAAACTTTGTGTGCACCTCAAGCTTAAGACATCTGAAGGATATTATGTAAGGTTGGTTACTCCCATAGCTATCACTAATTTAAAGGAAAGTCAACACTAACTCTAGGGCTGCTCTTGTCTGATTGATAACGAATCCATGGCCCTAAACTGTGGAGTGCGTTCTTGCACTGTCTGGGCTTGCTAACTAATAGGTCACACAAGAGTTTTGTTTGCTTGTTTTTATGTGAGGTTAAGCACAAAGCTACACGATTGGCTACCTGTGCCATCACTGGTATCGAAACCCGGTTTTTAGCCTTGTAAATCCGCAGACATACCGATGAGCCACTGGGGGGGGGGGCGTAAAGCAAGAGAACAGAGATAGAAAATTTTTCTTCTCTAAAACTTCGGAGCAGATGGAGGAGGCTAACGTCCAGTAGACCCCATCCCCCCCATAGCTACATCCGCGTCTCTATATTGCTTTATTCAGATAAATCCTATTACGTGGGAATGAATTATTAGTCGTCATTTAAACATAATTTGACTTTAATTTTATAACCTTTTTATCATCACAAACCTGCTTTAAAGATTTAAAATAAGTGATAATATTTGACAAATTTCAAAAGGAACTTCAACTTTTTTTTAGGTTCAAATCTAAGGATTGTTTTGTTTGTTTGTTTTTTTAGTTAAGCACAAAGCTGCACAATGGGCTATCTGTGCTCTGCCCACCACGGGTATCGAAACC